ACTTGACCACTTGCCTCTGTTGAATGAAGGCCAACTCCGAAAGGCCACTTCTAGAAGTGTCTAACTTGGCCTTTCGGTACTGTAGCAGCTACGACTTTGCCCTTTCAGGTAAGTAGCAGCTACGACCTTGACTCCTCAGGCAGCCTACAGCTACRACTTCGGAACTGTCTAGACTCCTACTCTATAGGTCTACAGTTCGATTCCCTTCTACCCTGTGACCTACGACAATTTGCCTACCACTGGCGTTCCTACAGGTCASAGGTTCAAGTCTACGGGTTGACATTGATACTGTACACAGGTAAGACGGGGATCTAGGGATCGAGCCCTGGGATCTGCATCCGCTACCGCGAACTGGTGAATACCGTTTCACAAAGAAAAAAAGAAAAAAAAAAGGAAAAGCGGATACACGTCTAAAGACTCTAAACACACATCAACACACAATCTGGGAACCAAGGGACTGTCAAGCAACTAGCTACCGCTATGTTCTCTGGACGTTATGCAGGGTCACCATATCCGTATCTGAACACAGAATTGCGCGGAATTCCGAGATTAGGGCCCTGTGTTCTATCTCGGGACAATGGTAGCAATCGTGCAATGGAAGTTTTCCAGAGCCGACGAGCATCAGGTCAGCAACGTGTTCTCAAGGTCTTGAAACGGATTAACAGTTGTTCAATGTTGAATACATCTCATTACATGAGTGATCTTGCAACTCACCTGAATTTCTGGGTCCTTCTGTACGAACCGTTTGCTCGCTGGAATGATTTGGAGTGAAATTTACCCACCGGTTTGAACTTTAATAAAGAGATTCACATAGGGTTGCATAGCTGCCGACCGCCAACCCCGACCGCCGACCAAAAATTCCAATCCAACCTTATCCTTAATATTCATATAAATTAATAAAATTGAATTAATTAATAAAATTGAATTAATTAATAAAATTGAATTAATCAACAAAATTGTTGAAACTCCATTACCCCTAAAGCAACAAGTATTCAATTTAATTTACCAATCCCTGTTTGTACTGCATCGGTGAGACCTGTATGATTTTGAATTTCTTCAAGTTGCTTTAAAAAGTTAAATTCAATTCATCTTGTTATCTGCGTTGGAGAGGATTCAAACCTCCATACCTGGTTTGAGTCTTGCGTGTATACCGGTCCACCACCAAGGCCAAAGCTCAATCAGCAAATTTAGATTTAGAAAAAGCCAAATTACAAGGCTCATGAAATTCTAATTCAAGGTTCTACTCAAATAGAGAACCGTATTGCACCCGACCAGTAGGGCCGACCGGTTGGCGGTCTGCCGACCAGTCAGAAAACAGTCATCCACTGATTTGTTT